TTCATTAATTATTATTATTATTAAGGAAGCGATCGGACAGAGGCTATGTCTGTTATGCCCCAGACAAGCTGAGTAGTGGCTTAATCTCGAGTATAACTAAGGAAGGCTTGTCGCACAATATGTATCATACTTCAATTTAAAACTTACAATACAGGGTAAGTACCTTATTATAATAACAAAATACATATCTCATATGTAACTTGTAACGGAACTTTGTTTTGATTAAAAAGGAAGAGTGGGCTGATTAGAAAAAGGGTTGACAGATAGAAAATAGTATCTGAATGTTTAATTTTGTTCTTGTTTTGTACATTTAAATAAATGAATCATATTATATTTGGCGCCCCCCTAGTGGCTCGAAGCACCCCATTGTACATTCGCGGTTAATTGTGTGCAAAATGCCATGATGCCGCCGAAACTTAATATTCCAGCTTCAGTTACTCTATCGGCTGACCAATTTAAGCAACTACTATAGACAATTAAGGAACAAGCTGCAACTACACAACTGTTCGAGGCACGACGAAGCGTATCACCAACTTCTTACAGATTTGATGGGTCAGATGACGCCGATGTAGAAGCTTTTCTAGACAACATCATAACATATAAAGACTGCACCAATATCAGTGACGAAAATGCACTGCGTGGTCTTTCAATGTTGCTCGAGTCTAGCGCTGCTACTTGGTGGCAAGGAATCAAACCGTCGACGAAAGACTGGCAGAGTGGAGTAGGTAAATATCCTCAGAGAAGTGTACTCGAAGAAATTACCCCCTCATGCAGTCTATCTTCGTTGCGAAATTTCGAGCTTTAATCGCTCAATTGCCATATAGTGCCACAGAAGAAATGCAGCTGGATATGGTTTACGGACTTTTAGCTCTGAAGATTCGAAAGAGACTTACGCGTAGTGAAATAAATTCTTTCAAAGATTTGCTTAAGTGTGCCCGCGAAATAGAACAATCGTTTCGTGAATCCGCGTTGCGCAAAGAAGAAAGAAACACAAACCAGGACGGAATGCAAATAAAGAAGTTACGACCTCGTCGTGAACATTGCAAAAAATTTGGTCACTTAAAGAGTGAGTGTCGCCAACTGGAAAAAGAAAACGATGATAAAGAACTGTCAAAGTCAACATCAGTAAGATCAAAACCTGAGTGTTATGGCTATGGTACTCCTGGCTACTACAGATGGAACTGACCGAAATGCAAAGAAAAAGCAGACGTCAAAACTAACTTCTTTGAATTATCACGGCTATCTTTACAAAATTAATCAAGCTGCGACGCTCCAATCCTATCCTTAGAAGTGAAAGGTGCAAAAGGAATTGGACTCTCCGATTCAGGATCAAAATGGAACATAGCTGGTCACACCCTCTATAAGGTGTTACAAGATAAGGGAGTTAAGTTTGAAACAATGGATGCAGTGGTAACATTAGCTGACGGAATTGCTAGAGATAAGAAACTACTGGTAACAAATGTAGACGTTAAGATAAAAGACAAAATAACTCCAATTAGTTTTGTTATAATGCCGTATTTAACCCAGAACCATATGCTCTTAGGGCGGGAATTCTTGAAGAAGGCTAACATTGGTATAGATATCCAAAACGAGTGTTGGTTTTTTAGAGATAAACCAGAACATACTTTCAAATATGGAACTAAAACAAACTCCGTAAACATTAATCCCATAACCCTACGCCAAAATGAAGCTCAGAAGATTAAAGACACGGCAAAAGATGAAATAAACACCCTACTACAGAAGAATAGCACCATCTTCGAACAAGGGGGAGAAACTACGTTTGCTACCCATCGAATTAACACACAAAATGTTGTACCAATCTCCGTACCACCGTACCCGCTGAACGGACCAAAGAAGCAATTCCTGCGTGAAGAATTGAATCGATTAGTAACACAAAGAATTATAGAAGAGTGCGAGTCACCATGGTCCAGCCCTGTGGTTTTAACTCCAAAAGGAGACAGCTATCGTCTTTGCATATATTATCATAAGCTAAACTCAGTAACGGTAAGCGATAGTTATCCAATGCCGCGAATAGACGATATTCTTCACACCGCTAAACATACACTATTTATGTCTACAATTGATTTACAAGCAGGTTACTGGCAAGTTCCTGTTGCTGAAGAAGATCGTGACGAAACTTGATTTGTGACTCCATTTGGGACGTTTAAATTCAATCGAATGCCTTTCGGGTTGAAAAACGCGCCCACAACATTCGTTCGATTGATGGACAGATTTAGATCCGGTTTGAATGACATTGCAGTATTCGTATATATAGACGACATCTTGGTACTTTCAGAAACCTTCGAGAAGCACATAATACACTTACAAACTTTTTGGTCTTCTGCTAGACGTGAGAAGTGCTCGTTCTTCTGTGACTCGGTCAAATTTCTCGGACATATACTGACCAGTGCTAGAATTAAAACCAACCCTGACAAAATAGCTGCTATCAAACTGTTGAGACCTCCAAGCAATCGCCGACAGCTGCCAAGTTTCATTCAGACATGTAGTTGGTATCGCAAGTTTGTTTTAGAGTTTTCCGAAATTGCACGTCCCTTAACTAATCTTCTTAAGAAAAATGCGTCTTTCCAGTTTGGTGAAGCCGAATTAAGAGCCTTCGAGACGTTAAAAGAAAGATTGATTACCGCTTCAGTCCTTGCTCAAGCCGACCAGACCAAGCCGTATATCCTTAGAACAGATGCAGGTTGTTACGCCTTGGGTGCAGTTCTACTCCAGGGGGAGAAATACGACGAACATCCAATAGAATACGCCAGTCGCTTGTTAAAGGACAGCGAGAAAAATTATTCAACTACCGAAAGAGAGGCGCTCGCCGTAGTATGGGCTGTAGAAAAATTTCGACATTATTATCTAGAAGGTGGGAAAGTGGTTATAGCGTCGGATCATCAACCATTACGGTGGTTGCTGACTTTAAAATCGCCTTCGGGTCGTTTGGCTCGTTGGGCACTCCGCCTTCAAGGCATGAATATGGATGTTGTATTGTGTCCTGGTAAAGTCAACGTAGTAGCTGATCTGTTGTCTCGACCTTTTTGCTCGGATGAAGAAGAAAAGGTACAGAGCTACTTCGTTAGTGTTGACCTACCGTCATACGATGCTAAATCTATGCGACAGAAACAAATGAAAGATGATGAGATCAAGATTATTATATTATTTCTCGAAGGAGAAGATCCGTTAGAGATGTCTAGATGGTCTGGGAGGAGATATGTGATGAACAATGGTGTTCTCTTCCGTTTCAACCCATATGTGGACTCTGAAGATCCCTAGTTACTGATTCCCAAAGAATTGCGTGAAGATGTTTTGGCCCAATACCATAATTCGCCTTCAAAAGATCTCTTCAAAATTTTACTTCACAGATATGAGAAAATATATTGTTGGCCATGGAAAAGGTTGTATGGAATGCCAGAGATATAAACCAGAGAATCGTCAACCTGCGGGCCTACTTCAAACCCCATCCCCTTCCCAGAGATTCGAAGTTGTGGCTGTAGATTTATTTGGCCTTCTACCGGTAACTCCCAGGGGGAATCGATGGATCCTAATAATTGAGGATGTTGCTTCAAAATGGGTAGAACAGAATGGGATCATCACCTGAGCAGCATTCGATTCGCCATAAATTCTACATGTTGCGACTCTACGGGATATAGTCCTTCGTTTCTCACATTTGGTAGGGAGATACGAGCTCCTTATGATCGTGTATATGATCTACGCAAAGTGATTGATGTAGAAAATTTCATACCAATGTAACGGGCGATAAATTTACTTATTTTTGGAGATGTTGGTATGAATCAGAACAATCGTCATTGTCGTAAAAATCAAGGTTGTCCTTGTGAAACTTGGATTTTATGATTTCACACCATTCTAATCAAGGTTTATAATTTCACAGTTAAATATTGGCGCCGTTTGGCTGGACACGATGTCTTTGTCCAGTTTTATAATTTCATGGTTTAAATTTGTTAATTTTAACAAAAAGCACATTTTGCCACTAAAAATCTTCATATTACAGTTAATTAAGCCTAATTTGGTGGAAACACAAATACTTTTACGACTCCCCAAATAAACTGGTAACTAGTAAACAATTTTGCGAAAACAACTCCTTTGGAGGGGTCTTTACTTATAAAAGATCTAAAGATCCAAAAAAAGACCAGAGTCCTCTAGCCAGTTGCCTGTTAGTGTGTGTTTGTGTTGTGACACAAAGGGGTAAGTGTTAAAATCTCCAACAATGTGCACGATTTCATAAAAAGTTCAAAGTTTTGTTTTTATTAATATTTTTAAAGTTCAATTTAATTTTGATGATAAATCGCCCTTTGTATTCTCGATTGGATAACGTTTTGAGATTTATATCTATTTTTAAAGATTAATTTGCATTGAAATTATTAGTTAAACAGTTATATTGTTTGATGAACGCTGACCACGCAACTACTATAATGTTCCTTACCAAATTTTTGAGTTGTTACAAATGTTTGAGTTGTTACCAAATTTTGAGTTATGGTACCAATTTTAAGTTTTGTTATATTTTTGTTTTAGATTTTTTTTAAATGTTTGTTTTATTATGCTTTCAAAGATTTAGTTTCAAAGTTATAAGGTTTTCTTGAATTTATTTAAAAATGTTTTAATACTGAAGTTCATTTTCTGATAATTATATTTGCATATTAAACTACACTATTGTTATACCAAATTATTCTCATATGACTAAATCTCTTTTGTACATACTCATTTCTAAATTAAATATAATTATTCATTTAAGCAAAATGCATATACTTGAAGTAGTCCCTTTGTCCAGTCACTAGAATGTGTTACCATCATCACGAACCAGCCTACGAACAAATAAATAATATTTTCACTATATGTCGGGCACAAGGTCCACGACAAGAGTTTTACAGTTTTATATCTAATAAATTAACAAAAGTTAATTTTGAAAATCTCCCAAGCCCGTCACACCAAGAATAACTTCTTACTTAAAGTAGCTAGCTACTACTCTGTCTGAGGCAATGGATAGAAATTGCAAGAAACAAGATGTCCAAAAAACCCGCCTAGATTCCAGACGACTACCAGCTGTATTCAAGAAGGGTGACAAGGTTCTCCTGAAATCTCATACTCTCAGTAGCTCCAAAAGTGGATTCTCTTCAAAGCTTGCCCCAAAAAGGGATGGTCCTTATATGATCTTGAGAATTGCTTCTCCTACAACCTACGAGTTAGGAAGCTGTACAAATCCTCCAGAAAGAATTGGACGCTATCACGTCGCGGACCTCGGCCCGTTTATTGAAGGGACTAGAAGTGATACATTAACGCCCTTAATACCAAAACGGAGGAGGGGTCGTCCTAAAAAGAATGTTTCAGCCTAAACAACACCGGAGGGCCGTTTGTGTTGTTTAGAGGGGGAGTTTGTAACGGAACTTTGTTTTGATTAAAAAGGAATAGTGGGCTGATTAGAAAAAGGGTTGACAGATAAAAAATAGTATCTGAATGTTTAATTTTGTTGATGTTTTGTACATTTAAATAAATGAATCATATTATAAACTCTTTTTATATTTCATGTTTCTAAAATGTACAAACACAGTTACCTAGTAGTTAATTTTGACTTTCGCATTAATTCTATTTGTCAATTTCGAGCTCCGATAAGTTTTTAGTTTTCGCGATAAGATGAGGGTTAAATACACGAACTATGAAAAGGTTGATATGATCTTGATTTTTGGTGAATGTGGAAAAAATGCCGTTGCAGCAGCAAATCTGTACGAAAGAAGATATCCCGATAAGCAACATCCATCCAACCAAATCTTTAGACGTTTAGAAAAAACGTTAAGACAAAATTGGTCGGAAGAAACAAGAAATAGAGGACTTACATCAAGCCAAAGATTCATAGCACGACAGGTAGGAAAATCTCAATCTTCCGTTTCAAAAATTTTGAGAGCGAATAAGTTCCACCCTTACCATGTGACATTAGTACAAGATCTAACAGAAGAAGAATTTCCCAGAAGAATACAATTTTGCAATTTTATGCAATAAGTATCAACTAGAGTTGAACAACAATTTTTTATTCAAAGTTTTGTTCAGAGATGAAGCAAGATTTGACAATAACGGGATTGTTAATCGGCACAACTGTCACTATTACTCCCAAAATAATCCACACTGGATCAGAGCAAATAATTTTCAAAATGTTTATTCCATAAATGTGTGGGCTGGTATTATTGCCGATTCCGTAATTGGCACATACTTCTTCAAAGGCAACTTAACAGGACACAAGTATCGAGAATTTTTGAAAAAAGATTTTCCGGGGTTATTAGAAAGTGTTTCTCTCAACCTTTGACAAGAGCTGTGGTTTCAGCAGGACGGTGCACCACTCATTATCACAGAGTCGTTATTTTAAAATAACGTTTGCAAATAAGTGGATTGGCAGAGGCAGTATGAATGCATGCCCCCCTCGTAGTCCCGACTTAACCCCTTTAGATTTCTTCCTTTGAGGGATTGTAAAACAATAAGTTTACCAAAGTCTTATTCGTAATAATCTAGCAATAACTAATAGATGTATGTTGTATTGCATTGAAAATTGGTTAGCGACCCGTTATTATAATACTCACCCTGTAGATGAGGTTAGCACTAGATCCTTGAGTTCCATTCCAACTGTCGAACACCCTATTCGTTAAAAATTTTTTTAAGCCAATGTGCAAAACTTCAGCTTACACAAGTTTAGAGGATGCCCTCTGGTGCGGTGTGAGGTATTGAGAGGGAAAGGATGCCTAACTGGGGAAAGACCATTACTCAAGGCCTGATAAGTAGTGATTATATCCGTTTGCGCCTGTCCGAAAGAGGGCAGAGATGCATTAGTCTAAGCCTTTTTTGCCGAACAGAAATCTGGTTGCTCGACGCTGGATGGATTCTAAGCACAAAATGTCTTTTTGAAGTATGGGAGACCAGACATTATTAGCAAAGGCCGCACATATGTTTTGAAAAGTTTAGAAAAGACTAATGGACTAGCTTTGCAAAAAGATTTGCCCAGAACAAAGAGCATTTTATTTGCTTTGCTCGCAACTCGCTGGACATGCTCAGTCCAGGACAATTTGGAGGTGACAACAACACCCAGGTGAACGTGCGATTCTGTACATGAAAGAGGTAAGTTGTTAATGGAATAAACGTGTTTCGGGTTTTTATTCCCAAAGTGCAGGACTACGCACTTGTCTAAATTCAAAGGTAACAACCAATCATGAGTCCAGTCATATATTGCACGAAGGTCTCGTTCTAAGGACCTATAATTCGCCCAACTACTGTAAAGCTTGATGTCGTTTGCGAACATGGCGGAAAGCGAGGTTGTGGTATTGTTGATGTCGGGATTATAAGCGACAAAGAGTAGCGGACCGAGCATCGAGCTCTGAGGCACCCCACTCACAGTATCGACAGATCTACTAAGTCCATCACTGACTTCTATCTATCCACCCAAGAAGGTTTCCCCATATACCAAGATGTTGCAATTTTTGCAGAAGCCTCCGTTTCGGAACCTTGTCAAAAGCCTTTGACAGATTTCCCAGGTAAAAATCCATGCTGTTCAGGTGGAATTAGGTTGTAATTTATAAGAAACTTGACTAAATGGCCATAGATAATGGATTCCATGACCTTGTTCCATGTCAGACATATTAAACTCACCCTTGTTCTTGTAAACTGGTTTGACGAACGTCGTTTTCCAGTCGGAGGGAAGTCTAGATTGCATTAATGATTGTTTCATTAGAATTAAAAGCGGAGTGGAAAGAGAGGTGGCACAGTTCTTCAAAACGCAGGCGGAAATAAGACTGGGACCTAATGATTTAGTAACTTGCTACTTTATATTGGTGATACTATTCGAATTGTAAACGCTAGATAAATAGGCATCCCAGAAAAAGGTTCCAGAGTAAAGACTTTGGCAAAGCAATCGGCAAATATATCAGCAACAGTGTAACTGTTATCATTAACCATACCGGCCACATCTTTAACCTTAACCGCTTTAATTGGACCAGATAAATTAATGCGAATATGCTTAAAAAGAGTTTTGATGTCCTTATCCTCCGCAATATGCTTCTCAGAAACAAGTCTGGCCTCTCTGATGACACTCGAAAGATGGTTGTGGTATACTGTATGACCGTATCGGATAGAGTTGTTTTAAAACAATTCCATTTGTAGCTTATCGACAAAATCCGAAAGAAGTGATTCCCAATCTAAGTTGCCTAAGTGCCGGTTCAGTGCTTCAAAATCTATCATTCTGATTTACCAATTCGATTAAGATATTCCAAGAGATGACTATTAAACAGCCAATCCACCAAAAGTTGAAAGAATAGAGAATAGAAACGACTGTCACTAATAGGCTAATCCACATTTGGAAAGTTTCAATTTCCGAAAATATAGACTTTGTCGTATGTATTGGATATATTGCTAATTTGGTTGAAAAGTGTTAGTCACTTTTAAGAAGAGAGAATCAATACCACCGTCACTCCTTATTCCAACTCAATCTGATCTGAAAATGGTACAGCCATCGAGAGAAATTAACGCATCAGTTATAAAAGAACTACAAGAATTGAATGAGGATAACTTTGACAGATTAGATCAGGAGGGCAACTTCATAAACCAATTAATGGGCATGTTAATAGTGCAGATACTGGTGCAATACAAATCTCGGATGGAGGAGGTTCATACAGAGTACACCGAAAAAATTAATGTTTTGGTGCGGCATTATTGGTCGCCAGATTGTAGATCCTTCCTTCATTAACGGAAATTTAACGTCTGACAATTCCCTCCAACTTCTGCAACAAAGTATTATTTCCCCGAGTTAGACAATATCTCCCAACTATGAAAACCCAAATGTACCTGCAGAGTCCATTTGGTTCCAACAAGATGGAGTACGACTTTACTTCGGACGTCGAGTACGGCATTACTTTAATGAAACTTTTCCTGAAAGGTGGATAGGACGAAGGGGAGCAATTGAGTGGCCAGTTATGTCACCCGATTTAACCCCACTTGACTTTTTTCTGTGGGGTTATATAAAAAATAGAGTTTATGTTAATAGACCACAAAGAATCGAAGAATTCCAAGACAAAATATTAAATGTGATTGCTGATATTCTGGTAATATTCTAACAGATTCATTTGAAAACTTTGTGCAACGTATTTACTATTGCAATGCGACTTCGTAAACGAAGAGTTGTGTTTTCTCTAATCGCTTGTAAGCAAGAATATCTGGCCAAATAGCGTGATTTAATAATTCAAGAAACATCGTTAAAGGCCACATTAAATATGTAATCAACAGATTTGTTCGAACTGGCAGTATCAACAAAGACAAATCTCGTGAAAGACTTCATCTGGGGAAATTATTGATGATTTGAGACGATCTGAGCAGAATTGAACAATTTAACAACGGCTCCAAAGTATCGACTAAAGGATGTTACAGAACATTTTTGAAAAGAGAGTGAAAATATGCCTTGAACAGAATGATGAACATTTTCAACATTTACTGTGATGTTTAACCGCAGTAAATTTGTTTCTTTTGATCATAATGAATTAGCTTTATTTTTTTTAAAACATATGAAGTGTATAGGCAACCAGTTACGCACATGTGTGTGGTTCGTGTGTGATGTTTGTCATGCGTCCTTGGACACTTAGTACGGATCTCTGTACAGTTAAATCTGAGACGCGGCACGTTTACATGGCCTACTGCGACCACACAATCATTTATAGAAACCCTGTATAACAATGTATTCACTATTTACAACAATTAAATCAGAGTATTAGTATTTCTAGAATATTTGGTACAATATTTGAAATTAGCATTTAAATCGATCTATAACGCTGGCACGTTTCACTTTATGTACCCTCAGTTCTACCATTTTTACAATGATTTGGCACTAGTAATAATTTTTTAATAAAGTGTCCTACGCCAGGACTATGAGAGTATTGTGAGGGCTAGTTACGATTTTCGGCTTTCCAGTATTTTTATTTTGACAATTTATTTTAGTACTTTGTTGGGAAAAATTAAAGGATTTGCTACAATTCTGAATTCAGAAAAAATGCACTATTTAGGAAAATCAGATTAACCCTGCTTCTCAAAACTAATGGCGTATAAAATTTGAAAAAATTCAGCTGCTTCCATACTTTTAGCGACCCACTATAACAAGTTTATTGTAAATTCACTGCTATTCGTTAGCTGATAAATGTACCTACATATATTTTCTAAATACGTTCATACACGTAGACTTCAATTTCCCGGTAGATCAATTATTAACTGAACTGTTGCTTTTTTCTTTAGTTATTTAAGTATTCGCTTCTACTAACGACCACTTCAGAGAAACAACATCGATCGTTGGTATCGTGATAAGCAACGCCATCAT